AACCAGAATCTACCCCTACCTGGAAAGATAAATCAACATATGGGACCGATTCTGAACAAAAGCGACGTGAAGAAACGGCTAGCATGACAGCCATCACGTACATTTTATCCACAGCAGTATTTCCGCTGTGGGTGACTGATGAATAAACGAAAACACGCCACCTTATCCTGGGGTAGTCCACCCTGGAAACAGCCATCAGGTGTGGGCCCCAACTTTCGGTTTTGCATGATTTCGTTCAGCCTTTTTCAGGCCAAAAGCCTCTTAGCCGGGATTGAGTGGCTTTGAGGACAAACAGAGATACGCCCAAACTGGGCAGTATCCTTATTCAGGATACACAGCTCCACCATAAATCGAGAGCCGCGGTCAATACTGGTGAGGCAGTTTTCGCTGTACACTCTTGATGCATAGGGTTTTGCTCAGTCATCACCGAGCTCCCTTGAGCCATACGTTCCTCTCGGTTATATGACCAGCTTGCTACACTAATTAAAGCACAAGCACTTGCCCAGTTGTTGTTTGTGTTCTTTTTTTGCCTAGTCGGTGGTGGCATACTCGGGCCATACCACACAGTCAGAACACGTGTCAGACGTGAGTCCCTCGAGAGCTGAGTCATAAGTGATCCACCCAGCGAAACCATGGTCATTGTGCAGCTGCGCGAACAAGGGCACATATTTAGGGAGTGGCACGGCGGACTGGGGTGCAACATTGAGGATCAGATCATCCACAGCAAGGGATATGACGCCCAGCTCGTCCATCAGAAAATGAGCTAAGATGACGGCATTCTGCATGTCTGGCTCCTCAGTGACAGCTGCGATATGGGCCGTCTGAACTGGCAGGGGTTTCTAAGCCAGAATGATGTGAAAACGGCTCAAGCTGGGTTGTATATACATGCGATGTCGAGCCTTTTTTCAATGTTTGATGGTTTATATATTTTCTACTGGCGCTCGACATCCAGAATGGTGAATGATGATATTAACCGTTTGATGAATGAACATCAGAGGTGGTATTTGTTTTGCCATGTGCTGACATGGACAGAATGGTCATGTGTGCGGTAGTTGAGTGATAAATGTTACATGCATTGCCATGATGCTGAAGCTGAAGCTCTGCGAAGTGCGGCAAGTTTTCAATCGACTCTGACGGCCGATGGGTAGAGGGCTGATGTGGCATTTTTTTCTGTAGACTAGGCCGCGTGTTGTGTGATGTGGATGCAATCCTTGGATGAGGATCAAGTGAGTGGCTGGCAACAGTTTGCACATATGGGACCCCCGCTCGGGGTTAGGACGGGATGGGTGGGAATCGTAAGCGAGATCCCAGAGTTGATCCCCTGGATTAATCTACAAGAATGAAGGCCGCCCGCATCGCCTGCAATGCCATTTAGAATCCGAATTCCCAACCCACTGAAATCAGCACAATTTTGACTATATATATCCCCCTAAGTATCAAGGTAGATTTGATGTGCTTACACGTACGAGTTTTCGAGGTTTCGAAGCTTCGCAGGGCTATTCACTAGAAAAAAAAGGGCCAAATGAACGTGTTCAAACGTGTACAAAGATTACGGGTTTGTGCTATTTTTGTGTTCTTAGCGTGCAGAACTTTGATGAAATGTGTTTTATGTGTGTTCGCAAAAATGTTATTTGACCCTTTTTTTCCTAGTGATTTGGGTAGCTGTCGCGACATGTGCGGCGCCATAAGTCGCGCTGCCCGAATTTGGAGTGGATGCAATGGAGCGAACAACAGCTTGTGAAGTCTTAAGGGGAGTCGCCATGTCGATTATGCTATTCTTAGCGTCAATTTGACGCTGAGCTCATTCCCCTTGATGTGACCTGTTGGTCCCATGCATGACCTGTTTCTCTTTATCTTTTGTAACAGACCTTAAACCCCCATACCTCCCTGGCGTCAATCCTTATTTCGATGTAGGGACGACTCAGGAACATTATGCGACAGTGATGTGCAGCTTCTAGGTGGTTGTGAGGACAAAAAATAGTCAAAATTGTGCTGATTTCAATGGGTTGGGAATTGGGATTCTAAATGGCATTGCAGGCAAGGCGGGCGCACTTCATTCTTGTGGATTGATCCAATTTAAAACTTTTCTGAGCATCGAACATTTTGCAAGTGGTTTGGGAACAAGTCGTGAGTTGTTTCCCGCTGACCTGCGGCGTTCCGTGTATCTTTCCTCCTTATGTCGATTGTTGCAATTACATAATCTCTTAGCGTCTGGGTCCCTCCCCTTGGCGTCAATTTGACGCTAAGAATAACAAAATCGGCATAGTGGCTTCCCTAAGCGCCTTGATGGTGTTCTCTGAGTGTGCGACATTTGCATGCAGGTCGCGGCATGTAGCCCGACAAGTTTGGCTTCAGAGCCAGCGGTTTTCGGTCCCAGACGCTCAGTTTTCGGCGTGATGCACCCACGGCATGCTCATCGTTCGGCCTGGTTGAGTCTTGGGGTGAATCTGTGAGCATCGCTGCTTTTTTTGGTGAGCGTTTCTCTCCATGTCCTTTTGGATTGCATGCCTCTGGACGTGCATGGACAGTGGGCAGGTTTTGCCCGTGTTTCTATGGCCGATTTGCCAGCGACATGCATGCAAACAGACCCAATCTCACTGCCTTTTATCGCTTTCTTCAACCGCTCTGGGGTAGGGGACGGGCGAATCTTTTGCAGACTTTCACTGTGCTACCCGGAGGGTCTGGCCATGCTTCGGCCGCTATCTTTCCAATAGTACATTCAGTTTGGCGCTTGGAAAAGTGCAGCACGAGTGGCCGAAGGGCCTGGCTTCGGCCTTGCCGGTCTCCAGGACGCACCCACACACGTTTTCTCTCACATAATATGACTCTTGCAGAAATGCATTGAAATCAGTGTTCACCACTGGAAACACCTCCAACCCGAGGTACCCATTACTACGAAGTTGCCTTTGCGCCATTTCATTCTGCACTACTGTACACCTCATCAATGCGTGACTCATCCCTGCGTCAGGCCCCTAATCCAGTACTTCACACCGTCGCTCCCTCACCATCTCACAACTAATCTGACCCGCACTACTGGCGTTGGGCGTCTAGCGTGGGTGTCACACCCATTGTTTCAGGGTGAAACAATATGGAGTGGGGACCAGGGGCCAGCGCACATAGCCAACCCTGCTGAGCCCCGCTGAGAATATCGCCAACCTCTAAGGAAGCCAACGGTGGACGCCCCTCGTTCAATTTTTTGCACTGTTAATGACTCAAAAGGTGCTGGGTGGCCGGAAGGGCTGGGCTTAAATGGCCAATCAAAAGCAGCTGCCGTTTCCAACCATCGGCTCAGCGTAGCCATCGTCACCCAGGGCAGAAACTCAGGATGGCTAATTTCCGAACTTGTATCCAGCGTGCTTGCGAGAAGCTTGGAGGTGAGCATCGCTCTTATGGAACGAGATATCCGGCTTGCGCTCGCCGGGGAAGCCGCATTGCGTGTGACTGCCACGTTGACAACACACCCTACCATGCAAACGGCTGCTGTTGCATCACTGCATCACGACATGGTGATACAATAGGCCATGTATAGAGGTGGTGCAGATTTCGGCCAGTTTCTCGTTGAGAGAGTCCGCCCGGAGGGTCATTTCTGTAGCCAGAAGTTCAGAGATGGCGACAGGTGGCGATGCTTGTGCCAAGGTGCGGTGGTATGAGCATCCCCACTAGGTCTCTGATTGGACACAGTCATCCACGCAAATGGATGCCAGCCCTTTGTGGGCCATTCCGAGGCGAGCGAGCACAAAAATTCAAGCAGGGCCGACCAGACCGGGCAAGCGCGCAAAGTGCTCACGCCAGCACGGAAACAAACCGACGCACATCGCGCCTTGGAAAAGGTCAACTCGTGTGTTTTACACCGCAATGCACACACCACAATGGGTGTCCAAGAAAAAGCAGTCCGCCTGTAGGAGTACATGGGACAAAGACAACAAACCCGAGACGGGAACGCAAAAACCAACGCACACTCCCTGCAGGAGGCGGCATGCAGACACCGCACCGCCTCCACCAACCATCGCCCTCGTCTCCTGCCCGTGGATCTCGGCCGCTCCCTATCACTGCCCAGCTCAGGGGCACCGACGACCAATCACCAAACCACGTTCCCCAGGGTTGTGGGCCCACTGGTCCATTTGCACTGCGCCCGCCATCCAAATCATTGGCCAGAAGCGTCTCTCATTATGTGTCGCTAGGCTGCCAGAGGGTTCCGATGCTAAGGCTTGATTGCTGGGATCGGCGCCGAGCTGCTAGAAACTATATCGTCAGGGAAATGAGGCGTGCGCCGGTCACACTTGTGTCCCGGCATACTGGACGAAGTGTGACCCCCCAACAGGAGACTTCCCGCAGGGGTTGTCACACGGAGGGGGGATGGATCGCTCAGGCCGGCCAAGTTTGACCGCGCCCCGCGCTCAGAAACCGCCCTGTCAAAATTTATCACCAATACAACCGCTTGCGGAAGAGAGAAGGCGAAGCCCCCACCAACAACCTGTACACAAACTACACGGCCCTTGAGCCCTTCTTTCAATGCGCTCTTGAACCTGCGCTCTAGTCTTAGCAATGACAAGCTGCCACCCAAAAAAAACGCCTAACTCATCCCCTCTCAACGCCCACAATGATATCTACCCATTTCTGCAGAATTGGCCATTGTTTGAATCAATCCCCTACACACCAAACGCCTCTGCACTGCTGGGGGGAGGGGGGCATGCCCCAGCCATCAGTCGACATTCGAAGATGTGTGTCTTATTCCAGTTGGCTTGGTGCCTGCACAAGGGTGTTGCTGCTCGTCAGGGCCTGACATTTCCGGTGTCCTACCCAAGGGAGGGCAGATGCCGGGACCAACTTGGCTGGCACAAACACCATCCAGTCGTGGCATGGCAGCCATGCCTCCACTGTCGGGTCACCTGAGCAGCATCACCCTGCTCATGTCCCCTGCACGCCTGGTCGGTTTAATCCCTTGTGCTGATATAACAATTCCTTTGAGTGTGTCAATCCTTCTCCCCCTCCCATTCATTTCAGATCCTTGGACCCCCAACTCTCAATGCATTGAACCTGGCTCCCAAGCGGGACATGCCATCAGATTGGCTGTGGATTCCGATGCCCTCGCCAGGCATTCCGTCACTCAGCGATATGCCATACTTGCCCGCCATTGCGGCCAGGAACGACATGCCATCGTCGACAGAAGAACAGATGAGGTCCGAGCGGTCGAACAGGTCAACCTGTTCGCATGACGTCCCCCGCAGGCCTGGCAGCGACACCACCCAGCCAGCCTGAATGTGGGACGGACTCTTTATGTCGGGATTCACCTGCAACATGGAGACGGGCAGAACACTGAAAATGAAAACAGAATCAAATTGCGGCAGAGAAGATGGCAACGGGGGAGGAGCAACACTGTGCGCATTGTGAGATGAGCGGATGGCAACGACCATTCTCTTGCAAGGCAGTGTCATGGCTGGGTGAGAGGGTGCAAGCCTGGCCCAGGATTGGTTACAAACATACCAACGACGTCGTAAAGGTGGAATAACAAGCCATTTCAATTAATGATATGAACGTGCCCACAATAAGACAACCCCCAGCCTTGATATGCTCAACAAACATGAGCGATCGACATTGGCCTGTAAAGCACAGTGAAGTCACATTTAGGTGAATGTGCAATTTGTCGGTACAACTGTAGATGCAGAGCAATGTGATGACTGGCACACATCATAGTGAACAGCTGCAATCATCTGCAAAGGAACATTGACCACCTTAAGCAGGCGCATGAGGGACACTTCATGGCGACGGGCGATTGACGCCATCGTGTCACCAGACTGGACGACATAGAACCGTGGCAAGATGCTCTTGACAGGGATCTCGATGCAGTCGCCTGCACGGATACCATTGGCGTCTTTTATCTCGGGGTTGGCTGCCAGGATATCCACCACTGTAGTGCCACAAACCTGGAGAAACACAGTTCTGTGCTCACACTCTGTTGTTGGCTTTTTTGCTTTTGAGATTGCTCTTGTGAGAACAGTTGTATGGCACTGCTTTGTGGGGGCGAGGTCAGTGCATTGTTAATATTGTGACAAACACACTTGAAGGACCACACACACGGCATTTCTCTGATTTGCACTGATTGGGGAAAGGGGCAAGGCATCACCATGTTGTCCCTCCCTTGCATTCCTGTGGGCTTGCAAACCCGTTGCTGAATGCGAGTTTAACATTTGAAACGGCTTGCAAATCGGCAGGGCTTACATACGACACATTCATGTGCATGTGTTACCCTTGCACATATTGTCCCTTGTAAACAGCAATGAGCAATGACAAGCCAATTTTGTCAACTGCCAATGAATGCTAGAATAACTCAAAATTTTCCCAGCTCTGCTGATACAGGCTCGTCTGCATGCACCGCTCATTGCCACAAATGCTGTTGCGCACTTCCCTGTTGCGACTGAGCGCTTCTGCAACATCTCACTCAGGATGGAAAGTGGCCCACAAGGGCTTGTCCAGCAGGTGCTGCCCTCTGCACAACACACATTTCTTCCCAGCTGCAAAGAATCCACGACACCAACGCGGCCAATGGCTGCTCCAACCTACCTTTGCTATCAAGCTCAAGGACTCCCCACTCTGCACTATGTGCATCAGTGGCCCCTCCGACCCCTCGCTGTCCTGGCCACCCATCGCCCAGTGCAGCCGCTGCAGCTGCTGCCTTGCTTGTCGATATTTCCGCCAGTAGTGGTCTGTCAACGATGTGTCAGTGCACTTGGGCCCCTTGTGGTAGCTCCTAACCACAAACTCTTCTGAACGTGGCTCCCCATTGAACTCAGACAGGTGGTTGAGGTAGGCAGCGCCAAAGTACAAGGCCACCTTTGGTGACTGCAGGCCGCTGGCAGAGCTGGCTGTGTGCTCATTGTGGCCCAAAGACATCAGCCATCTGACAGTGGAGAACAACATCTGCTTGCAAACACAACATTGCTTTCAAAAAACGTGGTTCATGACCGGTCAAGCCACTTCATCTTCTTGTCCTTGAGTTGTCAGGCACGGAGGTTGTTTGTGGTGACAATGGGCAGCCCCATCCAAACATTTCGTATTTCGGGGTGGTGATGCACGGGACTGGAGCGTGGCAACTATTGAAGTTGACCACAAATGGAAAAAGGCAAAGCCTGGGGATCAACTCAATGAGTATTATGGATTCCTGCTGCTGGTTGCACCCAGGAGTTGCAGTCATGGCCCCTCCCTTTGTTACCACAGAACTCTTGTCACCCTTGTCTAGCATACCCATGCCCCTGGTTGCTTAAGCTCGATTCATGACACTGCTTGTGTGTCGATCCACACCTTATGAAAGCGTCCAAGGCACCACCTAAACTTCCCGCATCTTCAGCGCGTGTGTGGCACTCTCAAACCATCAACAAAATGTGGGGGCCAACTGTGTGCGCACTGCCTCGAGAAAACGACCGATGAGGGGAACTAGATGCTAAGGTCCATCAGGTTCTACAGGGTTTCAGGAAACTGGCAGCAAAAATTGCACAGCTTCTCCGAACCAGGCCCAAGGATAGGCAAATGGTCCTCCAATGGGCAGGGGTCTTCTGAAAGTGAAGTTCACACAGGACACAGTGTAGATATGCTAGGAGCGGCAAGCTTCAGCTCATATCAGCTCTTCATTTTCAATCAAAGGAGGGTGCCCTTTGGGTAATGATCTGTGGTGAAATGTCGAATCCTGATGACGATTGGCTTCATACCAGGCACAGCCCATGGCGGGCTTCTCCCAAGTTCTCCTCCCAGCGAAAGGCCTTTGCATTCCCACTGCTTTCAATCAAAGCGATGGCGGCCACTGTCAGTGGGTCCACGGAGCCTGAGAGCCATGCACGAAAATCGTGAGTGGAAGAATATATGTACTCATTAGAACCCTTGATATCATGGCATCACACCTGCCAGATATGACAACACAAAATGGAAAGCAGAACATCAATTGGTGCTGAAGGTGCTGTGCCTGTGCACGGCAAGTCCTGGATGCCCATCTCGTGAAAGGATGAGGCTAGTTCTTGGTCAGGATGCTTGCCAAGGGACTCAAAGTGGGAACGTCCATGACAGCAGGCGATGGATCACCACAACTATCCCACTAACTCATGATTGCTGTTTGAGTTCAGGATGCATCATCCCATGGCTCTCAAAGTGACTGAAAGATACCGAATGGCTGTTTAGACTCACCATGACCATGGACAGTGAATTGTGCTTTGCTCTGATAGTGAGAGTTGCAACAAGTGCCCTGTTTATATCCTTCCCACGAAACACCCTGCACCAATTTTGGTTACAAGGCAGGCAGATTAACCCACTGTCCGCATGAGTTCACCTCCAGATGCACAGCCACCCATGGAGCACTTCCTTGTTCAGCAACCACGAGGCATATTTTGAATACATTTAGAGGAGAAACTGCAGATTCTGCAGCGTTATACTGCAGCAGAACGCAGCAACAATGCACAGCACGATCCTATGTGTGCGCGCTTTTGCAGAGTGCGAGGATTGACAACAGTGCTAAGAGCATAAGCAATAGAACAAAGCGATGTGCACACAGCTGCCGTGGCTGAACATGCTCACATCTATTACTGAAGCTGGGCTTTCGAAGTCTTGGCTCTACAATTGTTGCGCAAGGCAAACACGTCGATTCAATTTGGGAAATACAGGCCCACATTACAGTTGCAAAGACACTTGGTTACTTCCAGACAATAGGTTTCTGTTCCAAACCGGACCATAAACCAAGAAAAGCAGTCCCAAGGGACACAAGGGACTCTCGAACTGTCAGATGTCGATCTCGTGTACAAAGCAGTGCAATGCACATCCAGCAAGTCCTGCCCCCTGCAACATGTGTGGTGCCATCATACATAATATGCTCCAAGCTTCACTACCAACAGCAGATCTGCAATCTGGCAGGTGCTGTTTACAGATGACAAACCAGCCAATGGCCACTTTGTGCCCTCACCTTGAAAGTCCTCCCTGACAACTTCTTGGGCCAACTCCAGCACCTCCTGCACTGACAACGTCTGGCTGACAGAGCTGCCAGAGCGAATGCGCCTTGGGCTCAGGATTGATCGAGGCCTTCCGGTCGGCTCATGCCGTATGCTTGTGAAGTGTTCAGCTGCAGGGGCGATGCACAACAGTTTCAGAAGACTCTTCTGTTAGCACAGGGTGAGCACCTGGGCCATATTCTGGTGTCAGGAAACTAAATCACAGTGTCAATTCCACTTCAAGGACCTGAACGACGTTGCCTGACACCATCACCTGACGTCAAGGGAAAACCCACCATTGCGCATCGATCTGCTGCTATCCAGTGTGGGTAGAAGTGTTTGCCTTATTTGGGTGTGTGTCCAGTTGTTGCAAACCATATGCATGAACACATTCAGACCCTGAGGATTAGACCATTTATTGCAGTTGTAAGTGGATTTCACAAAGCTCAGATACTGCACCAGCAAGCCAGGTCAGCAGACAACAAGGACTGAAATTGCATACAGCCTTGTGGTATGTGTTGAAGTCGTAGACAAGGGAGAGAAACGGGCTATAACAGCTGCAGCGAGTTCTGAGCCACTGAGGCTACATAATAAACAAATCCTACATATTAATGAGCAAGTGCAAAATGGGTGAGAACAAGAAAGCGGCTGGACAGCGGTCCCCTGGAAAGATGTGGAGAGGCTGGACACAAATTGCAGATAAGTACTTGTCCACCCCACGGTTCTGTTGAACTGTGGAAGCACCATTCTCTTTGAACAAGGATTGCATGCATGTGGACACCCATGCGCAAAACTTGCAAGCCGCCTGATCGGTCCCTACGTTTCCCCTGCTCTCTACACCTTTGGGCAAATGGGCAATTTGTAGAACTGTGATCAGAAGACCAAAGGCTGGCTGGCCGTCGCTGCGTTCGCCACTGCCACTGGGGTGCATTACGTTTGTTTGTCGTGTGCTGGTGGGAAACGCGATCCATGGAACGCACTGCCCAATCACATGGATGTCGAACGGCTGCCGAACACAGGACGGTCCAGGACGGTCCAGGCAGACTGAGGCGGTCGCAGCCCAACGATCAGCAGCGACGTCCAAGCCTTTCCCCACAGTCCGCGCAAGCGAAGGTGACGGAGGACAAAGATCCGAACTTCTTCACAGGCAAACTTCCCCTCAAGCTCCCCCAAAATGAAAGCCCCTGCCTCTGCCTCGCAACTGACAGCGCTACGGAATGCAACTCGAACGCCCATTCCCCCGAACAAGGGTTGTTGATGCTCAGGCGCAACCAATTTGTGTGTGTGTGTGTGTGTGTGTGTGAGGCGCAACCAATGTTGTGTGTGCGTGGGGGGCGGGATTACCACCACGGACCGCGACCGTCTAGGGACGCTCGGCAGCCTTCCCGCCATGCCCGCCGTCACCAGCCCCGCCCAGGGGAGGGGACCGCGGAGGGACCACGACTGCTTTCGGTCTCGGCCGCAAACTCTCGCGGGCGCCTGGCCCACGGCCACTTGCTCTCGCGAGTCGCAACGACAACAACCGCGCGCTCGTTGGATATCCCGCGACGCAACTGCAGCTCAAGTCGTCGCCGCGCCTTCAGCGGGCGCGTCCAACGCCCCGCGCTGGGCCCCCGGAGCCTCTGCCGAGGATGCCCTGCAAAAAGGCCGTCTGTTGAAAACCGCCGCGACCACCGACGGATCCGCAACAAACTCCGGAAACAAACGGCGGGCAAGGGACGCAGCGAATGCAGGCGGGGAGGAGCGCCACGGGACGCGGACGCGCAGCGCCGCCCTGTGTCGATCGCCGCCGTCGGGCCCCACCTTTAGGTCTGTCGTGTTCCACCACCTTGGGCTGGCTGCACATGCACCCCATCGGGGGCGTCACGGGGCCGTCCGGCGCGCGTCAAGGCACCTGTCACGTCAGCGGAACGAGTGAGGGAATGCCGCAGGCGTCGGGAGGCCAGGTCCTGAGCCTGGGCGCTGAAGGGCAGCGGGAGTGTGTGCGCGTGGGTGGGCTGGGTGGGGGGGTGGGAACGGCTTTCCTGAGGGCCGGCGTCTTGAAGTACACCGCCGTGGCAGGTGCCCGGCGCTGGGCCTGTGTCCATTCCCGAACAATGCCTCGCCCTCGCGGCGGGGGGCGTGGCGCTTCCGGCAAGGCGGCGCCGATCGCGGAATGTGGGTTGCACATTGTTTGCCCGGAAGGGGCGACGTGGGAACCAGGCCACCGGGCCCATCGGGCGCGGGCGTGAGCCCACCGCCGCCGCCCCGGGCGCGAGCATCTCCGACATTCTCGGCCGGAGCAAGGTGCGCGAAATGCCATCCGCCAAAGACCCTGCGCAACCCGCCCATGCCCTCACCGGCCGCGCGCTTCCCTTTCAGAACGGGCAATTCAACCAGGCAGTCCGGGATGGGCGGGGCCCTGACGCCCGGCCCCCCCCGCGGCACCCTCCGAGGCCCACCGGGCCCCTTCCGCCAACACCGCCCCCCACCCCCCACCCACCCCGTTGACGCACCGCCATCTCCCCCGCCCCTTGGCGCATCCCACCCCACCCCAAGCGTCCCAAAGCCCACCAACGGGAGTCCCCAGCCCCGTCAAGACGCGCCGATCCCCCCCGCCCCGGCCACGACGGCCCTCCCCCGCTCCCCGTGAGGACCTTCAGGCCAACACGCGCGCGCGCCCAGCTGCCCCCCACCCCGTCCCCCCCACCCTCCCCGGCCCTCCCACATCAAAATCATCCCCTCAGATCGGCCCAGCTCCCACCTCTGCCCACGGCGGCTCCTTGACCCGTCCCTCGGCCTCTCCCCCGGGCCGCTCGCCGCCGCCTCCAGCCAGGAGGAGCTGAACGCCAGCCGGCCTGTCGCTCAGGGGGGCCCAAGGCGAGCGCCTGGAAGGCCGGCACTCCGGCGTCGTATTTGCGCACCCGCCAAGCGCCCACGGGGGCGAACGGCGCTGATGCGAGGCCGGGCCCTACGAGACACCACGGACGGACTCATGGGCCCCTCCGGACCGTCGATGTAAGGGGGGTGGCAGAAATCGCTGGAAAGTGACGTGCGGCGCGACAGTCAGGTTAATAAGCGCCACCCCCCTCACCCCTTGGGAAGTACACGAGTGAGGGCGGAGGGGCCGGTACAGCGGGCGCTGAGGAGTGTGAAGTACTGGGGGGTTGTTGGTGTGGTTGGAGGGTTGTCCGACGTTCCGGGGGGTGGGGCGCGGAGGGTCGCCTAAGGGATGGGGGGCGTTCGTCGGCTGAGTGTGTGAGTGCCTTTTGAATCGAGCTTCGGTGATGTTGAAATGTTGGCACAATGAAGCGTATTGCACTTCTTCTGCGCTCCGCCGGGCCCTTTCAAGGCCACGTCCAATGGGAGGTGTCACTTCCCCAGCTGTCGAAAAATATTCGCGGACGATGCTCGCACGACGAAAATGAAGTGCCGACGGAGCATGTATGGAGCGTGAGGCGCTTCCTCATGCAGTTATTTCAGCGGTGAGCAAACCGCGGACGCCGCTTTTCTCGGGAGAATAGGACGCTGACGGCTACCTCCTTGGCTTGGTTGTGGGTGCTCACCAGCGAGTGAATAACTTTCACTCACAACACCGAATTGTACCGAATCTTGTGAATTTGTGCGTTCTAATGCATAAAAACTGGGTAATTGGGCTTTGCAATGTCTTAGGTTCTCACCGAACAAATCATGGACATTAGTGTTGGGGCGAAGAAAGGAGCCGATGGCTACCTCCTGGCCGTAATATGCAAGATGTCTTGATGACGATGAACGACCCTCATCGGTTAAGTGCGGTTTTGACATGGCATCACAGCGCCTCACGGGCACACACGTGGGCCTATTCCTATTGGTCCAGGTTGAGAATGGTTAGGGCCCGTTGCCAGAAACACCCCACCGCCAAAAGTGCCTTCCGAGCGGCCCACGTCGGTCTGCCCACGGCGGCGCAAGTCCGGTTGTCCACCAGCGGCCGATCTGCAGACTACGGAGGGGTGCTCCGCGGCCAGATGGAGGAAACGACCTTTGGGAGCGAAGTGGTGCGCATCGCGAAGCGACAGTCCAATCATCGCTCGAGGGAGCGGGTTGCGGAACAATCGCCATCGTTCCTTGGCAGCGGGAAACGGGGTGCAATCGGGAACCAAAACACTGCGGAACGCCAACCCGTCCGATGCTCTGTAGTGGGCGATCTGAGACCTGCCAGTCCCTTGGATCGCAAGCCGCCGGGCTGGCGAATTTGTGGATGCAACCTGAGCCATCAATCGTCCCGAAGATGGTTTGGGTGTATCGGCGATCGCGGAACGATTTTTTGGCGACTTGGCTTGTTCTCTCTCCGACGGCCGGTTTGATGGCAGTGGCCCAGATTGCGTCCACCCCGACGTGCACGTTGACGCGTTCTATTTGGCGAGGGGATGCATGTCACACGGTGGGCCACCGCCAGAGTGAGACTCTGTCTTTGTGGGACTCTCTCCGTCCTGCAGCTGATGACGCGAATGCCCCCAGGCGGAATGGGAACAGCATGTAACACCAAATATCACGTGTGGCAATACGGTTGGCTGGCTGAGCGCGCGAGGAGCAAGGGCATTGAAGGGGTGACGGACAAACGTTTCGGATGTGCGCGCGCTAGTGGTCGCCTCCTGGGCGCAAGGGCACCGATGTGCCTTGTGGAGGCAATCGTATCGCAAGCCCAAGGACATCGTCTATCCCCCAGCAGGCATTTGTAGTGCAGGGCTTGTCCGTTTCCACAGAAAGAAACACTCCAGGCTGTGTTGTTGCTAGTTTGTTTGTCTAAATTGCCTTCAAGCCTGCAAGTTTCAAGGGCGCAGCATTGCGTTTTGAGGGGGCATGCACGCGTGCAGTTTTGCAACAGTGCGGCAACGGTGGTGCGCAGGTTCTGGCTGTCAAGGAGGCGCTACGGCCAGGGATGGCGCTGGGCCAGGATGCCCTGTCCGGGAGGGACGAACAGGTCGCAGCTCTGAGAGCCTTTCTAAGTGAGCGCTTCGACAGCGGTACTGGTGGGGCTGCCTACCTCAGCGGACTACCAGGAACGGGTAAGGAAGAGGCTGTGCATCAAGGACGCAAGCTCTCTGTTGAACTGTGCACTTGCTGGCGTGTGGTTGGGTGGTTCAAGGTGCACGGACTGCTCAAGGGCTTGCTTGTTTCGGCATTGATACCCTGATTCCACCCAACACACTGCAGCACCGATTGGATGGCCAGGGAAACTTTCGATGGCCATGATAATCCAGACCCCGGCAAGGGCCACCCAATCGCCAGTTGTGCGATGTTAGGTGCGGATTGCACATGCTAAATTGTTCCCTAACGAGCTTGCGTTCTTGTTCTTCGCCTTGGACTGTTGAGGCTGCCACAGGGGCGATTGAGTTGCCAAGACCCATTCTGTATGTGTCCCAACTGACACTTTGACAAAGCAGTGCATTCAGGGCTTTTTTCACCTGTGGCAAAACACAACTTTCCGCCTGCAAGGCGATGATGGCATTGGGTTTTTACCACACTGGTAGTCTGTGGTTGTGTTTGGATGTGAGGTGTCTGTAGAGGTTGTTGTCATGCGATTGTATGTTCAATACCAGTGCAGCAAAATTGGTTGGATGCACATTTAATCATTGCTGGTGTGCTGGCCCCCTGGGCCATGTTCTAGGTTTTGTTGAGTTCCACAGGTCTCAACCTGAGCATTCAATGCAGCACTTCCTTGCTGTCGCAGTCCTTCCCTGACTTTCAGGTTCTGCCCAGTGTTCTCCTGCCTTGGCATCGCCATCCTTCCAAAAGGAATTTAGAAGTGTTATTGCAGTTCCCCTACTTCAAGCACACACTGTCTGCAGATTCAGTACAATCTTCACAAATCTGGCGTAGCATGGTGGCTTCAACACCTTGCAACACTGATGTACCACAGTGTTGAAGCCACCTTGCTACACCGATTGCAAATAAGCAGTGGCATATGACGAGGATTCCTGTGAGACTCTGGAGGGGTGTGCCTGTCCCATCACATCCCCCTTAATGTTGAACAGACAATGTTGTGGTTTGACTTCAGGCAAAACATTGACCGTCCACACAGCGCTGAGCAACCTGAGTAACTATCCCTGCGCCCACAAGCAGCCGCCAGCTGTGGTGTCCATCAACTGCATGACTCTCCCAGATGCGAAGAGTGTCTACCGGGCCATGCTCCAGGGCCTCCACGACCATTGCAGGGGATCGGCCACCGAGGGGACAGGTGCCTCAGGAAGCTGCCGGATTGTGTATCCTCAGTTGGAGGTGGACCGTCCTTTGTCACCATCTACGTGCCTTGGGGACAACGTGAGTTGCTGATTCGGATGAACGGCACCCAGAAATGAAGGGTGCACAGGATCTTAACCCACAGGTTCTCCAGGTCGAACCTGACAGCCTCTGATGATCTAGATGCTGTTTACAATTTGCACACCTTTCAGAGCACAGTGGGATTGGGAATGGCACCAGCCATGTTCTTGAAAATTACCTAGGGCTCTTGCTGACTGCTGACTATTGATGAACTTTTATACATCCTTGTGCAGGGATAGGACAGCGTTCTTCCGCTTCCTCACAGGAAACCCAGAACAGTGTGCATTCCAGTGTTGTGTGCAGTCTCTTAATAAAATGTGCTGGTAGCTCAAGCTCATTAGGATTGGCCTGCAGCCAATGTGTGTTGTGTGCAGCAAGCCGCAGCCCCAGACACGTCAAGCATGCCCAGATATTCTGTCTCAGCGAAATTGACAATGAAATGCTGCACTTTTTGGCCACAGGTCGACAGCCAGGCTGCCTTTGAGAAGTTAATCTCGGAAGCACCCAGGGGGAGGAAAAGAAAACGGGGTGGCGGCTCAAGGTCCTTGGAAAACAGGGGTATGCTTGTTGTGTTGCTGGACGAGATGGACGGGCTACTAACTACGGTGAGTTGTTGTTCATCACATGGTGCAAACACAGCTTTTGTTCCACCACCAGGCCAAGCTGGGGCATCGACAATCTTGTGAGCAAGTATCAAAACCAACGGTGCATATGCTGCTTTGCGCAGTGGGGCATGGCACATGGCAAACGATCCATTTGTCAGTGGTTGATGAATTCCGGACTGAGTGCTTTCCATCAGCAGCAACTCGCTGCCCCTTCACCTGTAAAAGAAAGCTGGCATGACTTGAACTGTATGCCCATGAACACCATGTGCTATTGTCTGCGCTCAGTGCCTGTACCCCTTGTTTGCACAAGAACATATTGCCACGACTAGCCAGGTCTGTAGGCTGCAGATATAGCACCTGTCGTCTGTTAGCGAACTTACCACTCCGAAATTCCTGTTGAGTGGGCAAAAGGTGTGTGTGCATTTGTGAATTTGCCAACAGCTCAACATCATGCACCAACCCAATGCACATACATCAGCCAGGAATCGACCCCCGAGACTCAGCACACTCCAAGCAATTGGGATTGCCAGCCGCTTGCCAGTGTACTCGTTCATATTTCCAGATTCCATTGTTGGAATGCACAGGGCTCTGGCCACAGCATGGGCTGCTGCAAACCAGCGAGATGCAAAGCATGGAACCAAATAATAATGTACACAGGTCTCCAGAAAATAAAGAAAAGGCAAAAGCGCTGCTGTTTGCAGGTAATCTTGAACAGTGCGTGTATGTTTTGGGACTGCAGGATCAACAGCACACCATCCATGCTGCGCATCTCCGTGGATGTCAAGCACATGTCTTGACCCAATCTCCCACCACAATCCACATCTCAATCTTTTCAGGTCTGTACCTTGCAAGTTTGTCACAGGGTTTGTGCTGACCAACTCCAGGACAAGACTGTCCTGTACAACCTCTTCCACCTTGCCAGCACCAGTCCCCGCCTCGTCCTCATCGGCGCTGCCAACTCCATCGACCTCACCGAGCGTGTGATCCCCGAGCTCGATGCACGGGGTTGCAAGCCCACCCTGGTCCTGTTCCCCTCATATCGCTCAAGCGACATCCTTGGGGTCCTGAGGCAGAGGCTGGCCAGCTGCCCTTGCCATCCCTTCCAGAGTACAGCTCTGGAGGTGTGCGCCAGGAAGGTGGCTGCCAGGTCAGGGGACATGCGGCAGGCGCTGCACGCATGCAGAGCCTCACTCAACAGCGCTGTGGAAGATGGAGGTGATGCCCTGCCCAAAGTCTCCTGGGTGTCTCGACGATTGTTGTTTGGCTTGATGTGTGATGCAATGTTTGTGGACTTGGTACAACGTATTGTGCTGCATTAAATGTTGGACTTGTGCCTGCAGGGCGAATGCTGTACAGTTGGCAACCACAGGGTCAGTTGCAGGGCCCATCTTCAGCAACAGCTGTGAAGACTGCCATTGAACCAATGTTTGGAAGTTGTACGCTGCTTTTAAGTAGCATTTCAACTGCACAGCTGAATGCAGGCCATTGTCAAGCACTGGGGTCAAATTTTGGATTTCTATTTGAGAGAAGATTAAGCCAATGCAATCTTTTAAACTTCAACTTGAAGTGAAAAGCATCACCCTGATAGGGAAGAGCAGCTTTTCCAGACTTCACCCCATGCCCACACTCTCACTTTTCTGCCAGTTCACGTCGGACAATGCTGGGCCTCTTCAAAGGTGACATTGTAGGCTGTGGGCGCATTGGAGTTTTGCCAGCATGGACACTATGCCGTGTTGTGTCGGGCATCCCTGTTGTCAGAACCAACGCACTCCCACTCCTGTCACTTGTTGACTCAACGTGCGTTAGCTGTCTGCTGCATTTCACAATGCCACAGGAACTGCAACCATTGGCACTGAAGGGTCATGTTAGCAGGAAGCTCATTGATTGATGCCTTCTCGACAGGCACCTGCCAGCCCATCGGTGTGAAGGAAATCCTGAGGGCCCTGCAGCCCATGGAAGACCTGAGGGGCTCAACTGCGACACTGGAGTGTGTCAGGAAGCTCCCTTGCAGCCAGCAGGTTCTGCTGTATGCCGTGTGGGAGCTATGCGACTCTGCCTTCCCCTCAACACCCCTATCCCTGCGGACCCCTGGCAGCATCCAGTCACCCTGCTCCACTCCGTGCTCTCGTATGAAGGGCACACTGCATACACCACGTGCACTCCGCACAACCCGTACACCTCGCACGCCCTGTACGCCCCACACACCCCATACGCCTGTGACTCCATCCAACAAGAGCGATACAGCCCTGGCAACGGTGTACGAAAGGTGCGGGTCTGATTCGGCTCACTGCTGTCTGCACAACAGTGCAGTGGTGTCTTTCACCACTGTCTACCCCATGGATTGCCCATTAGAATCGTGATATATCCAATTCCTTGCCCACTGAATTTGTGAAATATCTACCAGCATTGTGCACGTGTATGTTGACTGTTCCCTTGGCAGAGTGCCAGCAACAATGACTGGGCAATGCTTGGCACTGTGGAAGTGGGGTTCTTTGAGAGTTTCTGTCTACAGTATTTGCAAGGCAGTTGCAGCTTCAAGACAAAGGCCCAACATAGTTCAGCAGGCTGTTGACCAACAGCTATGCATAACATGGCGCTGTCACTGCCAGTGCTAATCAGTTTGGATGATGGCCATTGGTAAAAACAGATCACTACTGGCACATGGCGTTGGACGTGCACTCACACAGCAACAGTGTGATGCGAGTGTGACGTGCTGTGCAGATTTTCAAGCCTGTGCTCCAGCCTGCAGCTGGAGTGCGGGTCAATGCAGGAAGCCAAGCAGATGCTGGGCTGCTTGTCAGATGCCGCCCTGCTGGACATGGACTGCAAGGGCAAGCGGGGGAGGAACGCCAAAGTCCGGCTGCGGGTCACCCGTAGGGAGATCGAGGGGGCCTTCAAAGACCATGCACTGCTCAAATACATTGTGAGCTCATCGTGACGAACGATCGCACATCGATGGCTGCTGCAATCAATCCAGAAATAAACACAGCAGCGCACTGAGCCACTGGACTTTGAACTGGGCATGGAGCCAATATTCCAAGCAGTCGTGGTACATTGAAATTCTGGTTTTCCTGGCCACAGGGCATGACAGCAAAGATTGGGTTACCTATTATCTTTAGAAAGGGGGGAGGGGGTTTGGCCAAGGAACACGACCCAGAGGCCCTGGCATAGAATGCAACACCCGAGCAAGTGCATCCAAGGCACAACATAGGGGCAGTGCAGTCAAGTTTCAGATGTAATCCAACTGTTTCATGAGCAAAAAAATGTGAAGTAGTTCCAGCCTATTGTGAGCAGGTCAGTGAGGTGCCATGGGGCCTGCCGATGCTCCACCTACCTACCTACAGCATGGCTGTGGTCGACTGTCACTTACACGGCAAGCGTACATTTGCACAAGTCACTAAGCTGTTTGATTGATGAACTTAACTGTCATGAAGTAATTGCCAACAGTAGCACACTGTTCTTATGTTTGAGTCAATTTAAAGGAAGTGGGGTTTCGATGCCATTACAGCAGATCAGTTTATCATCGTTGTGAGACATCAGCAGTCCATTATTTCAAGCACAGATGCTGGAACAACTACACAAAATAAAACAGTCAAACATGGGCGAGTGGCTTGGCTGTGGAACTTTCTTTTGTGTTGCATCATAGGGATGGCAAGACTGTGTGATGAGTGCCCTTCGTTCTTGTCTGTCTGCTGGCAAGCAGTCGCAGGAACACGTATATTATTATACCAAGCATTTGGCAAAAGGATCCACGAAGATAGCATACAACAGGCGAATTCGGCTCTTGAAGATCAGTTTGTTGGTTGGGCAGAAACCAGATTCATGGCAGGCTGATGGATTGTTGCAGTGGGATATATGGACGAAGTTTCCCAGCAGCACCCTTGAAAATAATGTGGTGTGCTCTTGTGCATCTCGAGCATCACTATTTCCCAAATGCTGGTTCCAAATGAATCACAGATAGTGGCACCCCCGAACGAACAAGCAGCAAAGGCCTTCCAAGATGACCTCCTCTTCAGACATGTCAGCCACCTCACCTTAAAACTGTGCCTGAAAAAATCGTTTAGTACTCCAGCTCAAATTCAAGCATGGCATGTCCAAGCTCAAAGTTCAAATCCACACCAAGGATATGGTCCTGCCCTGCACGGGCCATCTTTTGTGCCAGCAAGAGCTGCATGCAACACTGCAAAGCTGCTACAACAACCATGGTAACCAATCCCCAACAAGCGTTTGAATTTTCAAACCCAGCTGCAGCTGAAGTGCAGTTCCCTGGCACCATTCGTTCGTTCGCCTTCATCTTGACGCCTTCAAAAAACAGGCAGCAAAAGATCGAAAACCTGCAACAATCTGAAAGAGCACCCCCAAACAAGCAGAAACACACCGAAATGGCCAGACATAGAAATACCACTACTGAATTTTGCATACTCGATTGACAATCAAAGTGCCAGGCCCCTCGATTTCACTCACATTTATGCCCTGCATTGAGCAAAACACATGTCAGAGGCAATTGGGTGGCCTCTTGCATTCAAACCTGACAGGCTCCATGCTGGGCCCCTCGGTGCTGAGCACTGCCTGCCGCACTTCCCCTGGCTCGAAGGCAAGCGTTGGGTGGGCCTCAAGGTTCATTCCAAGCATCGCTGCCTGCAACACCGCTTATTCTCATAGTCTTCTTATCTCCTTGGAATAAAAGGCACTCCACTTGTTTGACCAAGCACAACTGAACACCGACCCAGCCCCCACAATGCACTGACTGACCCAAGTCCATCCGCATCATCCAACCAGCGCTGCACTACTTTTGCTGAATCTTAGTCTCTTAGTACTTTGTGCGCCCACGCCAAGCCACCAACAAGCCGGTGGTGCCAAGCAAACAGCCCACAGCAATGACACACTGTCCCCATCCACAGCGACTTTCCAAGAAAGTCTGGTCAGATCGCCTCTGCTGCACAGGAATTGGATCCACAATTTCTGGGACCGCAACCAGTTTGCACAACTCACGCCCGACGTTGCCTCGCTCGAGGGCACGTTTCACGATGTTTTTCAGGCGAAACGTAACAAACGCACGTCCCGCACGACAATGGCAGTTTTCAATCGACGCACTCCTAACGCGCGACAGCCCTGCCACTCTGCACGAGCCAGCGGCAAGCAAATCGCAGTTTTCAAATCAGCACATTTCCAATGCACGACACCCTTGCTACCGTCCTTGCAGGGCCCAGCTGCACGACACCTGCAGTTTCTCAGTCGCCGCGCTCTGAACGCACTACGACAGTACCCACCTCCTCTGCAGGGGTCGGCGGCAGAAAATCTGCAATCGACGCACTCTGAACGCACGACAGCCTGACACACCGCCTTTGCACAGGCCGGTGGCCCAGCAATCGCAATCGAAAATCGTCATCACGGCGATTGCAATCGACGCACTCTGAGCGCACGGCAGCCTCACCTGCAGCACCGACAGCGTGTCCGAGTCCGGGGCCACGAAGACCACCGTCTCCCCGCTGTACTGCGTCTCCGTTACGGACAGCATCTGGCGCACGCGCACCATGACGTCCTCGGCGCTCTCGTTGGGCGTCCCGGTGGTGGTGGGCGGCGGGCGCTGCCGGCTGGAGGCGGCGTCGTTGGCGTGCGCCAGGGTGAAGGCCTCGCGCGGCGGCAGCTGGTCGAAGTCGCCCAGGCCGCGGGCGTCCAGGAAGCTGCGGGTGCGGCAGTCAGCGAGGGTTTAGGGCGAGTTTCGGGCGATCCGAGCTGCGTGTTTATGTCAACATGCATCACTGAATGTTGGGATACATCGCTGAACGTACTCGGTGCACGCCTCTGGCATGCAACGTCCGTGGCATTGAGTGCGTTCGGTGTGTGCGTTCTGTCTGTCAAGTACTTGTCCTGTTGAAGACGTTGAATTGTGCTGTTCGTGTGGTATTTCAGGATGGATGCTTCGGGATTGTGCATCAAGTGCAGTGCGTCAATATGGCAGAACGTGCTGACCATTGCGTGTTAAAAGTCTGAACGAATCTCGCATAGGTTTCATTCAATCTGTCACTGCAACAGAACAGTGGGGTTGGGATGGCACTGGAGCCCTTTGGGCAGTGCCAGAGCGCTGGCACAGCACAGCGGCGGCGCACAAGCCACAAGCCACAATGCACGAGGAGCCGTTACGGCCGAGCCGCCCAATGCTGCGTCTGGTTCCACACGAACCCAAATCCAAAGGGCGCTACAACAACAGGCACCGCAAGTGACTGTTTCCGCTGCATTGCCAGTACGAGTTTGGAATCAACTCCTGTCATGAAATAGGAATTAGTTCCAATTAGGATTTAGGAAAAATAGGAATTAGTTCCAATTACGATTTGGGAATTGTGAGTTGATTTCTGTTAAGCATCAGAAATTAAACTCTGATTATTTTTTAATAATACTTTCGGGTAAGCACCATGGACGGATCTTAATGAAATTTCGCTCGTCCAAGCCAACAACAAGCGCTCCGGATTTCCTTCGAACGGGAATGAGAAAAAAGGCGGAGAGCGGCAAAAGGCACCAGAGGTGGACCTAGGCCGTTGCACCCACCTGTATTCGGGCACGATCCTGTCTCTGGACACGCCGAGCACAGCGGCCAGGATCTCGGCCGTCTGGTACGCGTTCATGGCGATAGACGGCCAGAACCAACAGGAGGAGGCCGTACACACGCCCAGCTCCCTCATGGACTTCAGGGCGCGGCCCACTACCTGCGCCGATGGCCCGATGGGCAAACGGTCAGCCGCGGCTTGCACACGGCGGGCGCCGGGATTCTGGGGAAGCGGGAAGGTTGGGCACCGGGAGGGAACCGGCGGGAAGTGGGAGGTGGGGGTGTTTCAGCGTGGAAAAATTGCCGGGAAAACTGACCAAGGGGAGTGACGCGCTTTGCCAGTCCCCGCCGCAACCACGCAGGAGGAAGATTGGGCAAGGTCGGCAATTCTTTGCTTGCGCGTTTGCCCTCGCAGGGCGAAGCACTGCGCCCTTGCGCCATATCGATGATGTCGTCAAGAAAGGGGTCAAGGGAGGGGGGGGGGGTACCTGGCGCTTGCCCTCAGCGCTAAGCGAGTTGATCATAGACGTCTTGTTGACGGGGTTGGTGTCCACGTACCCCAGCGCCTCCGCCTCCGTCTCCCCCGCACGCACCAGGTAGTAGTCGTTGGCCAGCCTGGGCGTCGGGAACTGCACCAGGGACGCCCGTGCCAGGGGGGGGGCGCATGCCTGCAGGGCGCCGAGCGCGGCCAGCGACAGGCCGCCCGCGAGTGCGGATCGCCGGCTGAGCCGCGCGGCCGCGAGATCTGAGGGGGGGCCGTATGGGCCCTTCTGGGCGTCTGGCCGCGCGGGCGTTGGCCTGGGGGCAGGGGAGCAAGGCCCGGCGGGCGGCATGACCGGGGAGGGGGATGGCGCCATGGGCCTGCGCAGACTGGATTGGTTGTTTTACCGGAGTGGCAGGGGCGCGGTGGGTGGGTGGTTGAGGTGGGATGGGGAAAGAAGGGGGGTGGAGAGAGGGGGGGCGGTTGAGTGCTGGGTGCAGCTGTGGGCAAGACAAGCGGGGGGTGGGGACGCGCCACTCCACCCACCCTGTGCGCCCCACATGCTGTCCGGGCCCACGGTCCAGAAATCGGGAACCAGGCAGTTTGGCTGGGAAAATGAACAGTGGTTAGAGTTCGCACGCGTTTGATGGCGGCGAAGCACGTGTGGGAACGCGGGCCACCCCAAGCGCAGGCGCCCGCCCGGTTGACGAATTGACAGTCGCGGAAGGGCCCCTTGCGGTGCGTTGATGCGGCCTCCACGGCCGCGCCCACGACGTTGTCAGGGGAGCAAAGGAAAGAAAGCATTTCGAATTGCGTCCAGAGTGCGCAGCTGAACACACGGCGGAGAGACGTGCCCATTGCAGCGCTGAATTGCATGAATTGCGACATTGTCGCAGTTGGTATCTGCGGCATTGAATGGGAGCCCCTGCCGCCACCGGAATCCTCGGACGTTCTACCACTGAGCTATAGTTCTGCTGCCCAGAAACGCATCAGAACTGAGCGGGCAAGTCACTGACCGCGCATTGCAAAATGATACGCCAACAGCAAAGGAACCAAACCATAGTTTAGAGTGGCAGACTTTGTTGGTGACCCGCTGGGGTCGATTTCCTCCACGTCAAGGTCAGCCTGCTCTCTACCGCTAATCCTTAAGCTCTCGTCGAAGGAGCTGCAGTTATTTTCATACACCCATGGTCCGTCATAAGATTCGCAGAATATTGTGACGTTCGACAGCTGCACATCGACCCTGCTCAGTGCAGAATATTGCTCGCCGTTCTCTTGGTCATTGACCCTCAGGAAGATCAGCAGTCCCAATTCCAGTCGTTCCACCTTCAAAACACCGTTTTCCACTAGACCTTGCACCACAATTTGTGATACCTGTTCCGTTGAATCTCCGAGAATATCTTGCGCTTGTACACTTTGGTTGAGGTCGTCTCGGGTATCTCTAATGGATTGCAAGAGAGCTTCGAAATCTACGGCCGTGGGACAGGACTTGTAAACGAGCGCAGAGTCCTGGATGGTCAACTTGGACCCAGGTCCGAGCCCAAACGCGTCAGGAATGAAGAGCGGGTACTGGGGAGCACAAAATATGTTGTAGTTCAGAAATACTTCCTGGAAATAACATAGCGTAGTCCATGAAATTCGCGAATTTCTTATGATCGTAAGGTGCCCTGTTGCCGCTGACGTTACTGTTCATAACTTTGACATCCAAGCAAGACCTTCAGAAAACTGGCTGTCAAGTGCACAACTGGCCTCGTGTTTCTCGGAGCCTGTCTCAAATGTTTGGCTGACGCACAAATAATTCACATTTTCCATGGCACACAACATTTGGGATTCATGATCCCCAATACTATTTCAAGAGCGGGGACTGAAATTGGCATATCACCACTATTCTCATTGGTGGCGACGACAACAGCCACGAAATGATGCAAATGTCCGATACCCTTAAATTCCGGACATGCAGTCATGAATACCATGAAGATCACGAAGCGGTGAAGGTCGCTTTGGGGTTTAGGGTGTGAAGGTTCACAGATTTTTAGGCCCATACTATGGACTCCCAAGCAACCTTGATGGCCTCATGTGCGGAAATGGCAAGTATCTGAAAATAATCTAAAATGGGAAAGAAGGACTTGCCGAGACCTAGTTTATAGTAAAACTAGTAAACACTCAATTGAGGTACACACCAAGGCATGTTGACAGAGGACCTGGTCCACCATTGTATTGCAACTACAAGTTTGCCACGATCGACACCCGAAATTGCCAGCTTGGTGAAAAGGCATGCCCTGTTTGGTTGTGGAAAATATGCAATCACCGAAATTTTACAGAATGGCGGTGTAAACCAAAACACAGCAGTGTTCAATTTTGTTTACATTTCTGAGATACGGTACCGTGTTCTGGAAGCTCTCCTATCCTCTGTACATGATGGCACGCTGCATGAGTCTCATTCTAAGCCGACATTGCGATGGGCAACCCCTCATCTTCGAGTGTTGAGGAGTGAAAAATAAGAAAAGAGCATGGAGTACAATTCATACCCGGGTCTTCACCAATGATGCCAATGCACGTGCCAACTCATGCCAGTTCTAGGCAATTTTAGTCAATTTTCTTAGGCAAGGTTGGCCATCTTGAGCACATCAGGGGAGTTTATATAAGCTATGTATGGTGTTGGTCTCTATTGCGTTGGTATCTATCATATATGGTGTTGGTCTCTATCACCTTTTGCTGAACGCCTCGAAATAACTTGAAACAAGCGGTCAATGTTGCACTACAGGAACGAAGGGAAAAAAACTCCAACAATGCAGTCAACATTACGACTTACATTATTTCCATGCACTTTTTTCTTTTCTTTCCTTTCCTTTAGGTTTTGGTGCAAATCAACTTCATCCTATCCAGCAACCGAACAAAGGGCAGCGTGGTGGAACACGAAAGTCCATTATGGTCAAAAATAACCTTGCATCCCTTTCATTTTGAATGGGCCCAATCAATGGGACAAGCGTTTTAAATGTAATGTCAATCAAAGTCCTCGCGATGTCGCAGGCGTGCAACAATTGTCATTTTTTGTGGTAAAGAGTCGCATATTTAATACTGCAGGGAGTCTTACTTTGCCTTTGGCGTCTTGGGCACACACAGAAAATTGCACTGTTGCTACTATCAATGCGTTTCGAGGCACTCAGGATCAACACGGGCGCCGTTCCTCACAACAACAACGTGCGTGATAACATATCACTTTGTGACTTCCTGTTGGCGGCACAAGGCCCGCATTTTTTGTTTGGTCGTGGGTGGCTCATGTACTCTTGATCGTGGCGTACATTTTTGGGATACAACACAAAGCGAAAATCCATGTGAACCTCGAACCTGCTCTGGGCTGAGGAATATTCCAGCATAGCCAGAGACGACTTTGGGGCTGGGTTGAATTTAACTTTGCTAAAGTTCGCGAATACTTTTTGTTCTATAGATAAAGCTCTATATCGCTTTACTTCGATTATGTTTCGCATTCGAGAGAGAAGGGATCAAATTGCCATCGCAAGTTACAGACCAGGTTCAGCCTCCAACGAGGGGGTTTGGTCCGGTGATATTTGAAAGTGGCTGAACCTTCGCACTCCTCCGCATTTGTTGGGGCATTTGTCTACAAGCCAGCGCGCAATATTTCTCATTCAAACGCCACGCTTTATCGCGCAGATTGAAAGCGAACAAGGGGGTCTCAAATAAGGACTAGGAATCCTGAAGACATCTTGACATTCGGTGCGCTTTCGAGCGAGCCACATGGACCTTGTAGTAGTATTCAGCCCTCTCACAGTATGGGAACGCCCAGACGAATTTGGATATGAATCCAGGTCGGAATCCAGACATGACCAGAGCCACATTGCCGAGAACCAGCTGAAAAAAATGTTGACTCAGCAGCATGGTCTCTGGCGCCTCTTCCAAGTTCAAGACGTTCTTATCACCGCCTTCTTGGGCGCCGAATATCTCTAAGCTGGATCCGGGCGCTTGGATGTATATGGGGTCTGTCCAAGCAAAGTCAGAAATCGCAACGGATCTCGTCACCTCTACCATCACCTGTGTGGTTTGCAGAGATGACAGCAGCGTCGCTGCCGCAGCTATCTCCCTCGAATTGTCCTGCAGGAAGCCAGAACAGCCGCTTGTTTGAATTGAAGCTCATAACCTGGTTGCTCTGTGGTCATGCACAACTAACAAGTATTCATGCGGCAAGGGAAGAAAACCATGCCTGAGCACTCGCGGACCCTTCTAGTGCAAATCATGTTAAGGTTTGCCGTCGTGCATGAGAGTCGCTCGTATCACAGAGTCGGGCGAATGTGGCATTGGAATATAAACGGATCTGCGGCACGCCACTTTACTGCTTGAGAGGCACTGCCGCAGTCTCACCGTGGACACGCTGGCGTTTCTTGGTGCGTTTTTGTTAGCCGCAAAAGGGTTTTCATCGTTCGAGCACAGCCAGGCTGTATTATGCATGTGGATGGCCCCCCTGGCGTCATGGGTCTTCGTTCCCCCACTGGCCACTGTGCTCTGGGGCATGATGCAGCTGGTGAACGCCACATTGTTGCCTCCGCTGCTGATGTCGTCATGCCTGCAGTCGTTCCAGGGCTCCCAATTCTCAAAATAAGATGCCATGATCACCGGCATCCTGGACATGTCTCCCGACACCATTCCACACATATTTTTTTCAAATATAAATGTCGATCCATTGATATACAGGCTGCTGCCGGGGGCCACAAAAAAGAAGTGGAGGAAGAGGGACTCCAGGCCCTGTATCTGATAAGGATGCGGCAGTGTCAAGTTCGACAAGGTGGCTCTCCCATTGGGACCCACATACACGAGGCCTCTATTATCGCCTGTGTCTGAAATTGTTCTTCCTGGCAATATCGGCAGTGGCTGCACAATCACCTGATCCACAAGTCGCCACCTGTCAGTCCTTTCAATGAGGTGTAATGAAATACAGTGAAACTTTTTGCTAGTGATGCAGGAGAACATCGACCCTTGTCCCTCGATCATATGCTGTTGCTCAAGAATTGTCTCATTGACATTTGCGCTTGACTTTTCGGTCCGGTCACAATGCGGTGAAGACGTCAAGTGCAGTACCGGACCAAGTGGTACGGGTACCCGTACCACTTGGTCCAGTCACCTGCACCAGGGTCAAGTAGGGCAACCGGAACTACCGGACTGTTCTGGTCCGGTCCAGGAGCCGTACCTAAACTGGACCCACACCGAGAAAGTGACCCATAGCACACAACCCTGCCAGCCAGCTCTGAAAGCTTCAAAAGGAGTTGGTTTTGCCGCAACCCACACTTCCTTTAGGTGACTAAGTAACACCCAAAAGACATCAGAAAATCGCGTCTTTTGCGGCCAGAACAATGCTAGCCTCGG